TGAATCTCACTCGTGGGCAAAATCGGCACCGGTGACCTTCGACCTCCTTGTGCTGGGGAGAGATCACACATATACAATTACTGTAAGCATATAAGTATATTTGTGAACTCAGCTAGACGTTTTGATAGATGTTATGATTTCAGATTACTGCTTAACATCAGATTTTCTGTGGGTTTATTTTCTGTGTCAAAATGTTGTATAACTTCAAAGTTTGAAAATACAACTTCCATTAATTTTACAAAAACAGAATATGGAAAAAGTTTTCATATCCTTTTGACAGATACTGTATTTCTTCATTTTAAGCATAAACCAACTTAATTTTGTTCAGTTTGTCAAGACTTTGATGTATCCTGATTTGAGAATGTTTAGATTATTTGTATTGGGAAATAAAAATACTGAGAAAGGTATTTATTTTTTGCAATGCATGCAAAATTTCATACCATGATTTTATGAATTTAAGACTTTCTGCTCTGATTCAAGACCTTTTTAATGCCTTAAATTGTGCAAATTAAGACTTTTTAAGACCTGCAGAAACCTCTTAACATGGTCAGGAAAATGAAATAAGCTACTTACACATCACCAGATCCATCGTATATGCTCAGTTGTGGCTGCCGAATTTGAAAAAATGGCTTAATAATAATAATAATAATAATAGAGCAGTTATCCTTCAAGTTAAGTTCAGTTTTTACTTACGGGCTGATGATAGTTAATATATTCCACTTCCTCCTCTATGAAAACAAAAGCAAATTTTACAAGTGTAATTCTACACCTTAAATATGGGGAATGTCAAAGCCTGCCTCTTTCTTTTTTTTTTTTTAAAGATAAGCCTTACGTTCTTCTCGGTAGTATGTCTTGTCAGACGAGGAAGGCTTAGCTTTTTTGGTCATGGCTTCATTCAGTTTCTTTTCATAGAGCTTCCGTGTGGATTCTGCAAAAACAAAACCGCCACCAAATCACAGCACAACTTTCCACAGAATCATTGACAAAAAACATGCTCTAACATGCTTTCCTGAGCTAGTGTTAAATTTAATGAAGAAAAATATGAAGAAGAAAAAAAACAATCAAATGCTAAATTTTTAATAAAAATGTTTCCTTTTTACATCATTTTTAATATTTATATTATTTTTTTATGACTATCATGTTACAACTTACTCTAAAAGACTAAAGGCTTATTATCACATACCTACTATGGGTCCATGTTTAATGCCATATTCATCCAGCAGCTGACTGATCTCTTTATCAGATTTTCCACTTAATGAGGACATATCTGCAACAACAGGATTTATGTAAAGGTTTTAGATTTAAAACTGATGATGACTCATAATAATGTTCTAGCATGTAGGTAACTAGTAGGCCTACTGGTTGACTGAGAAACGTAAAACCGTAAAACAAGATTATTTTATCTCTAAAGAGAGTCTGAAAGAACAAAATCAATCTCTCATAGAGAGATACAACAACCAGCACTGCATATGAATAAACGTAACGTTACTTCAGTGTCAGACTGCTATAACATCTGGGGCTGAACGTCACACATGTGCAGCCTGCGACAGCTGTAAACTTTGTGAGGTAAAGTTACTCTGGACAAAAGACACGTCCTACGCAAAGATCAAGCGAACATGGCATCTTCTGTCAGGGCATTCGGGAGAAAAGGACCACAAAAGCGTTTTTCAGGCGAACAAAAGGTCAGAGAAAGGGATTTCTTAGATCGAGCTAACGTTAGCAAGCGAAACCACTGACACAACTTCAACAGCGCATTTAGCATGACTTAGTTAGGATAGAAGAGTGAGCAATAGTAATGCAATAGCAATAGTTTCGTGTATTTTGTCGCCTACATATATATTTTTTATGTTTAAAAATAAAAAATGGTCATAATTGGATTACCTTAAACGATCCCCGGACGTCAAAGGCGCTTTCCTGAGCTGGGCGTGTCGCGCTGGAGAGGAGACACGGATGACGCATCACTTCGCCTCGCAGGGACTAGGCGTGTTCAAAGCGTCAAGTCTTTTTTTTTTATAATTATTTTTTAATATTTTTTTTATTTTATTTAACTCACTGAAAGCAAAATGTTGTGCAAAATCGGCGCCGTTTACAACAACATAGCTTACTGTTGTCTATATGTTTTAATGTATAAAGACCCAAATACAATTTGAAGAAAAGCAAGAAATATGTTGTAAAAAAAAAATAATAATAAAAAAAAGATTTTGTTTTTCTTTTAGGCAGCAAAGGCCCCATTCAGCTGATCAAAATTGACAGAAAATACTTTTACATTGTTACAAAAGATTTCCATTTCAAATACATACTGTTTTTTTCTTTCTTCTATTCATCAAAGAATTGTGCAAAATACGTATCAAAGTTTCCACAAAAATATTAAGTGGCAGAACTTCAACATTGATAATATTTTTTTTTCCGAATGCCAAATCATATAACTTTAATCATATATTATCATCAGTGTTGGGAAGGTTACTTTGGAAATGTAATAGGTTACAGATTACAAGTTACCCTATTTAAAATGTAATAGTAGTGTAACTTTTTCTGTGTTTTCCGCATCGCGGATATTATAGGGCCGTATGTCTCAGATTAGTCAGTGTAATTTGGGGAAAAAATCTATTAAATCTGTATGTGCACATTTTATTGTGTATTGTTGCAGTTATGATAATTGTTTATATTTTTATACTGTTGCAGTTATGAACAAACTGAATTGGTATGTTGTTGCAGTTGTGATCGAATTTTAACTTTTGGACTAATTTTTAAATTGAAATATTGTTGCAGTTATGATCATTTAAAAACATTTTTTTATACTATTGCAGTTATGAACAAATTATTGGAATATTGTTGCAGTTGTGATCAAAGTTTTATTGTTATACTTCAGTTATGTACAAACTGTTGCTATACTGTTGTAGTTGTGCGATAATCTTTATACTGGTATATTGTTGCAGGTTTGAACAAAGAATATTAGTAAATTGCAGTTCTGAACAAACTATATTGGTATATTCTTGCAGTTAAGATGGTATATTCTTGCAGATAGGTGAATAAATGATTAAAACACTGTTTTGCACTTACGGCTGATTATTTGAATTAAAGCAGTGTTCAAACTTAATTATAATTTCATGGTTTTTACTTAACTTTCCACAGTATTTAAGTAAAGCTCCTTATTGAACATTAAAAGCTGAAGAAAATACAGAAAATCTCATGTAAAATGACAGCAAAACACTGTATTTTTGAATTACGGAAAATTACTGTTATTTAATGTGCCCGTTATTTTACGGTAATTTTCCGGCACACCAGCTGCCGGAATTTTACCGTTTTTTTTACGGGATTTTTTTTACAGTGTGGATGTGTGTACATATTCAAATGTAATCCCCTTTGTAATCGTTAACATTTTCATAAGTAACTGTAATTTAATTACACATTTTTTCTTAGTAACTGTAACTGATTACAGTTACATTTATTTTGTAATTAAATTACGTAACGCCGTTACATGTAACTAGTTACTCCCCAACACTGATTATCATACGGGCTATCATTAGAATGATTTCTGAAGCATCACGTGACACTGAAGACTGGCGTAATGGCTGTTGAAAATTAAACTTGGCCATCACAGGATTAAATGAAATACATTTTAAAATATAATACAATATAAAAAAAAAAATACAATTGTATTAATATTTCACAATATTATTTTTACAGTATTTTGATCAAATAAAAGCAGCCATAATGAGAATAAGAAACTTCTTTCAAAAACATTAAAAAAAAAAACGTACCCACCCCAAACTTTTGAACGGTACTGTAAATGTAACTGTACTGAATCCTAAAACATGTATTATTTGGAAAATATTTATTTTATAAATATAAATTAGGGTCCTTTTTGAAGCTTGAACTCTTCAGTCCAATCATTGCAATTTCATGAAAAATAAAAATAAAACAATAGTCGACATTTCACGGGAAAAAAAGAAATACTGGCTCAGAACGACATGAGTGTGATTAGAAATGTGTGAATATAATTTTGGGGTGAACAGTCCCGACGTGCAGTGCACTTTTCTACCGCTGTGGGGCGACATTGCAACTAATGTAGGACTTTTTTCAGACGTTTTTGAAGATAGGAGAAACCCCAAACTGTTTGTTTTCGCGTTGTCATGGACAGACATATATATAACGTGATTCACTGTCACGCTTCTCTGAAGGGAAGCTCGCCTCTTTCCTTTTATACTAACTAAATCGCCGAAGCTACCGGTGATACCGGTGTAAATTACTTTTGGTGTGGAAAAAGAAAAATATAACAGGGGCCTGCAGAAACAAACAGATCCAGGGCCCTGGCAAACATAGTTATGACACTGGACCTGTCATACCTTATATGGACAGAGTACAGCTGTTTATGTACAGTATCTTGGTTGTCTTGACTCAGCTGCATGCCAGCCTTGGGCGTCAACCTGATTTAGAATTACTCAAAAGATTTCATCAGGAGCCACAACTGATTTGATGAATCAGTAACCAAGCAATTACAGTAGTGGTTTTACTTTTTGTGCCAGTGTAGGTGTCTTTTAGTAGTACATTTAGTTTATTTTTTTACATTGACAGAAACTGTTGTAATTAATTTTACTTCCCAATGTGGCTTGTATCCAAGTGAAACGGCTTCTTGAACAAGGAAAAAAAAAAAAAGATTTGCATGGCTAAATCATTTAAAATACAGTATTTCATAAAAGAATTGGCCATTTTGATTTCATGGTGACTAAGGTAGTAATCTTGAATGTTCTCAATTAGTCAATTTTCCTTCAAAACTCTACAATATTTGAAGTTTAAATATGCTTAATACTAGCTCAAAGGTCTCCAGACGTTTTGCACATATTACAGAATCCGATCACCAAATTTCAATATACAGTTCCCTTAAATGCGTAACCCATATTAAAATTTAACCATGAAAACACATTCATGAAAAATGGATAAACTCCAAAAAGAGTTCAAAATCACAGATATACAAGAAAATTAAAACATTTACACGTTGGTTGACAGAAAAATAGTTAAGACAACTTTATTGTGTATCAAAATACTTTGTCAAAATGTCAAAACTTTAATTTTTTTTAGACAACTAATTTATTTATTTTTATTCTTGAATACTGATTATACATTGACATTGGAGCACAAAGGGCTAAAGACCTGACAAAGTGAGCGCAAATAAGTGACGTTTTGCCAGATGTTACAACTTCCAAGTGTGTTTTACATAACCAACAATAAACTCAAGCAGTATGCATCAAAAATCTCCCTTTCGTTACACCTTCAGCCAAATGACATGGTCAACATCTTTATTCTGCCATGTAAATTCCCTTTGATTGCTAAATCACTTGGCACATAATCCTGGTTTTAAATGGCACCCAAATGACATTTTCAAAAATGTCTTCATGGTCAAACGGAAGCAACATGCAGCTCTGCAGACTGAAAAATATTCAAAACACTCAGACAGAAGGTCAGACCCACAGAGCTTCGGCACCAGTGTTAATTCAGTCTACGTGACAGTCTATGTTTAAGCGCCTCTTCACCCAATGGTAAGTATAATGAAAAATGTGTGTTAAACAAGCGGCTGAATCACATCTGTATTTCTCCTGCTACTAGCAATGGTTACTCTGTACAGTTATGACTGGAACAGCAGTCTCCTAAACCAGGCAAAACATACTAGCAGCTACTCTGTGTTAGAGACTAGATCAGCAACAAACCAAACACGGAGCAAAAGCCACCAGGACCCTCTGATTTAAAAGGATTACGGAATGCAGCAAATGTAACAGGATCCAAAAATGACTGTCATACAGTGACAAGGTGCTTTTTTGAAATCCCTCTCTTGCTTGAAAGCTGAATAGTGGTGCAGGAAGATACAGGATGAGAGGATCATAAAAAGGAAGAAGGACAAGAGAGTTTTCAGTGTTCCTGTATTTGATGCTGTAGGTTTTGGTGAAGGGCAGTTAGACAGTGATGTGATACGGGCTCCCGGGGATGTGCTCGTCGCCCCATTTCACCACCAGGATGTACTCTCCTTTCTCCTTCAGCTGGTAGGACACATTATACAGACGGTTACCCAAGTGTTTCACCAAGATCTCCTCGCAGGGCACTTTGGGTCCGTCCACTCCAACCAGGAGCATGTTCCTCCCTGTGGAGATTGATGGAAATATAGTGTCAAATGCTTGCAATTAACAGGAACCAGGACTGAATGGCCAATTGTTCAGTTTCAAAGTAATCAATTTCTAGATAATTCATACCTGCTTTACTACAGTCCACACTGAAAGTGTTCTTCTGTCCTATGAAGCCCTTGTTGAGTCCAAGACCCTTGGCAACTACACGGCTGGTGTCGGAGCTGCCCCAGCCCGGCACTGCCTGCTGGCTGGTCGTCACACTGCGGGTCACAGGGTCAACTAGTACTGATGAAGTCTCGTGCATACTGTGGCTATTGACCAATCGGGAGCCTGCAAAAGACATATTTGACATTACACACGACAACAGTTTCTGTCCACCACAAATTAGACACCACGATAAAACATTGAATTGGACAAAAACAACAAGTTCTAGTAGTTAAATTTTTTTTAAATATACCAAGATAAACCATGGTATGTAATTGAACCTAAAGCTTTTTTTTTTCATACCTGTAATTTTAGCTTTGAATGGGCTGCCAACAATATGGTATGGTCCACCGTATTTGATCGAAATTAGGTAGTTTCCAGGTGCCATAGGTGTGTAGGTGACCTTGTAGCCCTCTGGGCATTCCTGACAGTCCATCTTCACTTTGGAAGGCCCATCGATGGTCACTGCCAAAGCTCCTGGGCCAGCTGAACTTGTGTTCACAATGAACTCACATGGAGATCCTGAGAAGGTGGTGGTGTATATTCAGTTTAGTTCAGCTGCACACTTTGACAACTATAAAAGATCACACTATACATGATATCTAAAAGTGCATTGTACCAGTGGTGCCTCCTTCCAGACCAGCTCCATAAGCAGACACCATTCCTGGGTCTCCAGCCTGGCCAGTTTCACCAACACGGATCTTGAAGGGGCTTCCAGGGATGTGAGAACCATTGAATTTCACATCTATCAGGTACAGGCCATTCTCCCTGGGGATGAATCTCACAGCATACTTATCTGTGAGGAAAGGCGGCAAGAGGAAAGCAGTTGAAGATAAATTAGAACTACCTTTTGCTAATTTTGGCACCAACATTACATGTGGTAGCCTTGAGGTAATACAAGTAACAACATTTAAGTCCTTTTTGAAGCTGTTAATCTTTCTTCTGGATGCTTCATTTCCAAACAAATATGTAAATGCCTCAATGGGTTTCATTTTGAAGTGCAAGCATACAATGCAAAACACAGTCAAACCTTTAACCCATCGTTACCTTCATCGATCTCTGTAACACAGCACTCTTCAAGCGCTCCGGATGGGCTGTGAACTTTGGCATCGATGACTCCCTTCGCCCCATTTAGGCTCACAGCAAAAGAGGCCGGCTGGTTCACCTTTAATCCGGACTCCTGCATTAACACGACACTGCCACACTCAACCAAGCATCAAAAACTGCGTAAAAGTCTGACACTACAAACATGTAACAGGCCCTCGTCTAATATGACACTACATCTCTTACCTTCAGGCTAACAGGGTTAAAGAGAGAGGCTTTGAGAGACCAAGAAATTAAAACCCTCCACCCCCAGCAATACACAAAAGGAAACAGTTCAAAGTAAAGAACAGAAAGACAAACAAGCCTATTTTGCCCTCTTTAACCCTTTAGCCAATCATTTCCAGCCATGTTGGAGGTAGGGCTGTTGGGAGCCTTTAGGACAAGGCACGAGAAATACAAACAGTCCTTCAGTATCCCAGAAACCCCAGTGCAGCCCGTGAACACAGCAGCAACTGTTAACTGTGGCCTTTTTGGTGTGATGTGTATGCAATATTTTGACTTCATTTATCAATGGTTGAAGTAAAAGATTTACTCATTACGCAGTTATCAAAAGTGTGCATGTATGTGAGAGCATGTGTGGTGCTGTATGACATTTACCTCTCCTTTCCTGTATTTGTGATAGTACCATGACATGAAGCCAAGTTTGATTTGTTTAATGTGAGGTAATGTTTTCCCTGTCATTGTGGCTGCTGTGCCAAGGGTTGACTTGGGAGTTGTTTTGGGTGGACAAATGTCTGTCTTTCTCGAAGCCTCACCTGAAGACTGGCAACAGTGAGACGGCGGGCGTCATGAGATGGTGAGGCCACAGGCACCACAAATGGACTGTCAGGGATGTGCTCATCATTGAATCTGATGGATACTTCATAATCGCCTGAAATGGATGGAGAGCAGTCAGCTTAGACGCTTAAAACCTACCATAAGGAAGAACAGGGAGAATTCAGAACAAAAGCCTCACCAGGCTCCTGGACAATGTAGGAGACACCGCTGGATCCATCCTTGCGGTCTTCAAATGCAATCTCTGCCTTGCTGGGTCCCTCGACCGCAATGGACAGACCACCAGCTCCTGCTTCACGGGTCCAAATGCTGAACTCAGCTGCACAAGGGGAAAACATGAAGCATTAAGATCACATTGATCATTGTTCTGCAAATTTGTGGGTGAAATCCAGTCTTTTCAAATCATATTCCACACAATTGAAGGTGAAAGATATCCCAACATAGATTTTGCAGTGGGCTCAAGTCGTTAATGCCATGTTGACCAATGGAAAGCTGCTTGATTTGAAAGTGCATATGAAATTTTGCCAAAATGTGACCGTTAAAACTAATTTGACACAGAATATGTAAACACAAACCAACACCTCATACCTGGTACACCCGCCTCTGCTCTCTCTAATCCTGGGCCTCCTGCATGGACCTTATGGGCGCCTCCCTCTCCAAGAGGACCCACAGTGAACTGGAAGGGGGATCCGGGGACATGCTGACCTTGATACTTCACACTGACCGTGTGCACACCCATCTCCGTGGGCACGAAGCGAATGCAGTACGTGTTGTTTTCTCCCTCCATGATCTCAGCCTTGTGTACTTTGCCAGATGGGCTGGTCACCTGAGCGGTCATGTCTGCGATGCTGATCTCTGTGGATCAAAAAGTACATAGGGCGACAGATGTAGGTGTGTTAAATGAGGGAATTGTTTATGATGATTGTGTTAATATTTTTCCCACAAGTTTTACCAGGGATCTTCAGGCTGAGGTCGCACTGGCTGCCAACATTGGCCACAGAGGCAGCTCTTCTTCTGCGGGTGATGCTCTCCTTCATCCGACCCTCTCCTGTCACTTTGACGGTAAAAGCACTTCCTGTTGGAGGAGCATAACAGGTGAAGTTAAACAGTCTGTGGAATCATACATCAATAAAGGACTAACTAAAACTGCCATTCTGAAAGTGCAACACTGCTAGTAAATAGTAAATACCTGGAACATGTTGGTCTGAAAATTTGATGTTAATAATGTAATTTCCTGGTTCTGTGGGGCAATAAGTGACTTTGCAGGTGCCATCTTCCTGATCTTCAGTGTTTATATCTACTTTACTGGGTCCCTCAATAGACAAGCTGAGTCCTCCATATCCTAAAAAATAAAAAAAATATATAAATGAACACAAAAAAAACCCCAAAAATAATTAGATTCATAAATTCATAAGTATTAAAAAGAATCCAACATTTTGTTTTTGAACATATTACCTGCATCTCTGGTGTCAATGACAAATTCTGCAGGCTCAAAGGTGCGAGCTTCACTCAGGCCTTGACCAGTTACACGCACACGGCTGGCATCACCGAGCTCAGATTGGTTGATCATGACTGAGATGGGGCTATTAGGAATATGACGTCCATTTTTCTTAATGTTAACCAGGTGCTCTCCAATTTCCTTGGGCACAAAGGAAATACCTTGAGAGAAAATGCCAGAAATAGATGTGATTAGAACAACTGCAAACTTCACACATTTCATTCCACATACTGTCAACTTCCATCGTAACACTTACCCACATGCCCATTCCTGAGCATCTTGAGCAGACACGGCTCCTCCCGGCCAGAGGGGGTGGTAAGAGACGCGGTCAGCTGGCTGAGGTCCAGCTCGCCGATGTCTAGAGGGATGTCAGCCGCTGAGCCCACCTTCAGATGAGACATGCGCATCGAGTCATCACCTGCGGACAGATACAGATTTGATGACTTCACTTTAAACAATGGACATGAATGGACTTTTTTGCTTCCAAATCTCATAGCAGCATTTAAAGCACCTGTGATCTTGGCCATGAAAGGGCTGCCGGGAATGTGCTTGTCGTTGTACTTGACAATGATGTTGTAGTCTCCAGGAAGAACAGGGAGGTAAGAGACAGTACAGGTACCGTCCTGATTATCAGTGCAGCTGATATCTGCCTTTGACGGACCCTCGATGGCCAGAGACAGACCACCTAATGAACAAGAAATACTGTAACCAGTTTTTCCATTTTGGGCTGTTCACACTATAGAGTTTAAGGTTGTCTGTTAAATAACAGAATGGCTTAAGCATTAGTATAATAAATAATTAAAATGAATTAAATAAGAAAATTAAGGGGGAAAAAACAAACAGGATATAAAAAAATAAGAAATAAAACTAAGGAAGTTAGAAAAAAACATCAATAAATAAATAGGATAAATAAAATAAAAGCTGAATTGGTCAATATGTGAGCATCTATACCCTCTCCAGCATCCTTGGTGTTGACAGTGAAGACTGCAGGTTTATTAACCATGCCATGAATTAGACCAGGACCATAGGCAGTCACATGACCACTGTTGACATAATCCACATAGAACTGCAGTGGACTTCCTAAGACGCAAGAGAAGGATTTCTTAATTGAGCAGTTTATATACTGATTAACCCCCCAAAAAAACATTTTTAAAGTATTTCTCTCTTGTAAACTTGTTTGTATGGCTGGAAAAAGAAACAAGTGGCCAATTACAGGTTATTTTACCTGGGATGTGTATTCCGTCGTATTTGATGTCCATCTCATGCAGGCCAGCCTCAGTTGGGGCATATTTCACGGTGACTGTGCCATCCTTGTTATCGGTAATATCAGGCTTGGCCACTTTTCCAGAAGGCATTCTCACATCACCTGTAAGGCGTGGGGTACACATAAGAATCTTCTTGTAGAAATCAGGACATTTCTGTTATTGGACAGATTTGTAGAGTAGAATACCTGTAATTTCTCCTTTCTGGATGGTGAAAGGAATGACCAAGTCGAAGGGTCTCAGACCAGCTACATCCAGTCCGTTCATGCCCAACTGCCCGTCTGTAGCCTGTGAGGAAGAAGAGGGGAATCAGTCAGATCAAAACTAACCCTGAGGTGGACACTGAACTCAGATTGCCATCAGAAACTGAAGATCTGTAACTAATGGTTTTGTTTCTGAGGCTTATGTCAAGTAATCAGTATTTGCTTATTGCTTAATTGGTTCAATGTTACTTTTTATTCCACTTTGCATTTAATTTACTAGGTCATGAGTTTATACAAGACACATGATCAACAGCAACGAATAATATTAAACTGACATCCTGAGAATATAAAGTTATGGCTGATGTCCACATATACTACTGTTAAAAGTTCGGTGTCTATAAGATTTTAAAGTGTTTTTGAAAGAAGTCTCTTTCAAATGCATTTAACTGAATTGTGACAATTACTCCAGTCTTCAGTGTCAAATGATCCTTCAGAAATTATCAATGTTAAAAAACAGTTGTGCTGCTTAATATTTTTGTGTAAAATGTCTATTAATCAAAGAAACTGAAAAGGTATCACAGTTTTGTTTAATAATAATAAAACAATCTTAGTGACTCCAAACTTTTTAACGGTAGTGAACTGTATATTGATTTTGATGTCAAGAAAACACACATATACATATACATATACATATATATATATACACATATATATATATATATATATATATATATTTATCATGAATGGAGATGAAGCGCACAAACAGTAGACATGACAACAGTACCCTTAAAAACAAAAACAAAAAAACAATGATAATGGAGATGAGGATGACGAAGATGATGAAGCAGCCACCAACACTGTGAGAGAGAGAATGACACTCTAATGAGAGATTGCAGGATCAGTCAGTGATTGACCAATCTTGAGAAGGGGTGGAGAAAAAGCCAAGCAGACAAGTGACAACATGACCAACGATGATGTACCACACACAAAAACAACATCTAAATGCCCACACAAGAGACAATGAAAGTTTCAAACACACAGCTTAAGCTCGGCAACAACCAGCCATTTTGTTCAAATGTGATTCCCCACATTTAGTGCTTTCCAAAATGGCTGTCATTCTGATTCAATGAAAATGTATTTAAGAGTCCACATAAAGCAGAATCATTGGAAATGAGGTGAAATAAACCCTAAACCTGGAGGAAGAGAAAAACAGGAGGGTGAAAAAGGGAAGGACATAGGACTGATTTGGGACTCATCAGTAGCAGAGCAGGAAATGGAGACGGGGAGGAAAGAGGGGTGTGTCAGTACCCATGGCTGGCCCATGTTGGGCGCGTAGGCATACTGCAGGTTCTGGGTCTGCTGCATTAGTTGGTCAGGAGAGTCACCTTCCAAAGCCTGAGACAGGGCAACAGAATCAAAGATGAAATCCCTTCAATAACAACCACCTCTGGTTCAAAGCTGCTCAACCAGAAGCCACTTTAAGAGATCTAGATTCTTGCCAAACAACAGTTCATCCTGAAATTAAAATGCTGTCAATTTTGACCCTTACGTTTTTCTAAAACCAGTTTTTGTGCGAGGAATTGGCTAAAATGTCACTAAATGGTATTTGCCTCAGCACAGTGGTTCAACAGTAAACTTAACATGAATTATATTTTAGAAAAAAATAAAAAATGTATAATGCTACAAACACACACACAAAATGAACTTGTCCAGTATGCTTCAGTTCTCACAGAAGAAATGCAGAAAAATGGCTGAGAGTCCTGAAAATGTATGAGTGCGAGTTTGGTTACACAATACAGTCATCACTCCAGTAAGGACTCAAATACAGCAATGTGGCCTTCCTCTGAGACCAAAATCACCATAATTAATAGAGCCTAGAGTTTTCAATCCATGACCAAACTCAGGCCAGACATTCAGGTTATTCTGACTTACTGTATGCTGTATCTTTCCTATGATTAGACTTACGGTTTTCCTTAAATCAACGATAAAAATCTCAAAAATCCCATAGATCTACACTGATGAAATGTTCAAATGAGCCAAGACTCTTCAAACACCAACTGTCAAAAATTCAAATTTAAACATTCAAACTTTAATTACTTAAATTACTTTTAGAGATACTTTAAATTTATGCTAAAAAATGGGAGAAGTATTAATACATGCCAGCAACATGCTAAAACGTGCTATGAACGTCGCATAAAATTAAAAACATTTTGAAGTTTTTAAGGCTTGAAAAGGCCTTGTCCTAAAAGTTTCTTTTAAACTTCTCAATCTATTTTAAAGAAACATACAGATACAGTATCTTAAATCTTATAGAAATCACAAATTTCAATTTTTCTTTTTCAATTTAATATATTGTCTTCCAATTTAATATATTATCACTCCCAGTTTCTGTGAACAAAATTTGAAAACAAGCAGTGCGGTCATAATTACAGCAGAAATACAAGAGAAAATATCTTTGCCAATACTGAGGGGCTTTGAATATTTTGGTTGTTGGTTCTTTGAGTCAACCGCTACCCTAGAGGAAAGAAAATCATTCAATTTTGGAACAACACGAGGATGACAATGTTCATTTTTGGGTGAACTAATCCCTTAAATTGCATGTTGATGCTAACACAACAGTGTAACTGCAAGAATAAGCTACGAATTTATTCATATTGTAATCATGGTTTTGCACTAAAGGTTCACAGTGTATATTTAACACACTATCCTGCTGGAAAGATTTTCCTGTGAGAGTTCAACATTTGAAATGAATAAACAGTGCTCCATATGAACACAAAGGATCTGTATGGCATATATGTACCGTGACTTGGAAGGGGCTGTTGGGGATGTGTTCTCCACCGAAGCGCACACAGATGACATATTTGCCAGGCTGGGGTGCTGTGTAGAAGATGTCAAATGTTCCATCCTCATTTTCAACTACGTCCACATCCACCTCGCCTCCATCCGGAGTGCACACCGTGCACGTCACCTTGCCCTTCCCAGCAGCCTTTGCATCCACAGTGATGACCGTCTGCTCTCCGATCTGAATAGTTGGACCAACTCCAGCACCTACAGAATACAGAGAAAGGTTTAGTAACAGGTATCATGCAGACAGATGTCTTGTTATTAGATAGTTTAGTACCCATCCCTCCGTAGTTACATTCCACCATGCACTAGATGCAAAATGTCTGGAGCGTCAAGGCAACAGCTTTAGAGATTTGGGATCCATCATTTAAAGAGATCTACTCAGTCTATGCAGGTTAAGATTTAATGCAAAATGTAATACTCCTCTGTGACTTTAAAATGATAGATCCACTATCCTTTTAGTATGTTACCTCGATTTCCAGAGCTGTCGATTTAATAATGCGACCACTAATACAAAATAAATATACGCAACCTGAGGAAAACAATATCAGTACACGTACATTCCACCATACTGGCATATTAAAGACCTGGTAAGTTAGTCATTAGTCACCTGCAATCTTCAGCTACTTTGAGATGTTGTTGTACTTTGAGAGTCATTTTGAAATGGCGGGAAATGCAAGATAATCTACATATGGACTACATCTTAGCTATAGTAGTGGATAGGACGGCAAATTATGAGGCCTTTGGTATCAGACAACGTGCAATTCTGCATGCAGTACCAAATGACAAGACTAGAGCATTATTCAAAGCGCTTACCCAAACCGTGACCTCCGATTGAGACTGAGAGACCGTGAAGCAGAGCGAGAAAAAGTGAAAAAGTAACAATCAGGGCAAAATACAACAATGTGTGCAAAAGATAAAACAGAAGTGAGGAATGAAGTGATGGGAATGTGAGCAGCACTGCACAACAGGAGGTGTGTTTCTGGGTGGGGGATGAAGATGGGAGCAGTACACAGAACAAACTTTACACAAAAGGATCAAAATCTGTTCCCTTGTAACAACCAGCCTGAACATTGAGGTTTAGATTAGATAGAAAAATGGTTCAAAGAACACAGTGGAGAGTCATCAAAACATTCAGTTTCCAGTAGCTCCAAAACCACAGGATTATTCTGATCCCTCCACTCAGTGTACAGTGGCAGACCATCTTAAGACACCAGAAATGGGTAAATAAAGAGGCACATTTACCCTCTCCTTTCTATAATATGGACATCAAGCAGTTTGGCTCATTTTTCAGAAAAAAAGTATTTTGAAAAACTGACTGCAATATTTCATATTTTGTGATATGAAAACAATACAGGAATTTTCACCAGATGATTTGAATAGTTACAATTTTTAAATCTGAAACTTTTTTTTGAAGTGCGAACCATACTTGTACAAAAGTGTTGAACAATTCATAAAACTTGAAAAATTTGGTTGTTTTCATAACCAAATTCTCATTAAATTGACACATTTAATGTAACTGCAAAATAAGTAAAAATTAAAATTGCAATAATACTACTACACTGAAAAAAAAAAGACTATTTAAGAAAAATAAAAGTACAACAGTAAAATCACAACACTAATATTTACATTCTAATTTTTAATTTTCAAGTGTTAAACTGTCATGCTGTTGGCAAATTACACTGCTGGTTTCAGAGTGAAGCATGGCACTGTGTGCAGCTCAGGACACAGTGTTTCAGCTGTATTTCGTATTACATTTTTAATCAATATTGAGTAATTTGATTATCACATTAAGCAATACCGATTACATATTGATTTTATTTCAACATCACGCTGCCCTACCAAATTATTATATTGCTTTTTATGTTTAGAGCTCAATAGATTAGTTTGAAATGAATGGAAAGGGGCCTGCAAAGTGTAGCAATCAGTAATGAATGGAATGGTAATTTATTTCAACTGATCCAACCTGAGCATTACATACCTGTGACTGTGCATTTGCTGGCATCTCCTGTTGGCAGGGCTCTGATACGATATGGAGAGTATGGGATCTCATCACCACCGTATTTGATGAGAATAGTGTAACGGCCAGTCATGTCAGGCACATAGGACACAAGATACGTCCCATCCTGATTATCACGAATGTTAGCCTTCTTTGGCTTCCCGTCAGGGTCCTAAAACAAACATTGAGAACCAAACAATCAATAAAATGTTGAATGAGAGACCATGGCAACTTTATGGCTGTAAAGAGTAAAACGCATCAACTCACAGTGATCTGGACAGCCAAGAGTCCCTCTCCTGCATCTTTGGCATCAATAGTGAACTCCACAGGCAGACTGGCAGGCACACCGGTGGTATTCAGACCAGGGCCACTGGCACGGACTTTACTAGCATCATGAGTGGGCAGAACCTTCACCTTATAAGGACTGAATAAAGAGACCAAGACGAGTGTGTGAGAGAGGGGAAATAAACAGCAGGGAAGGACAGGGACCAAGGGAGTTTAAAAATGCACCAGGCCTGCTATAATATCAACTCCAGTAGTTGATGCCAACACCACTGAAACTTCACAATACTTTAATGCCAACTGAAGACCACAGCAAAAACTGCTTACACTTCATGCTGTTAAATATTAATATAAAGGATAAAATACATCCATCCAATATTTCTTAATTGAAAGTACTCGATATCAACAATGCAGAAGGTACACTTTTTGTTAAGCGATGTCAGTTTCTATGTATATTTTTTCTATGTATATATTCTTAATGCAAATTCCAGGTAAAAAGATAACCAGAAACAAAACTTGCATGTTTACGATCCATTTTCAAAACTCATTTTGATTAACAGGGTGGTTAGTCATTGATCTGAGCCTGGAGTTTACCTGTGTGGGATCTCTTCATCAGCATACAGGACATTAATAGAATACGGCCCCTCTCTGGTGGGTACATAGCTGACTGTGTGAGTCCGGTCACCATTATCCACCACCTCAACAGGCTCCACGACACCTACACAACATAAACAGTCCTCTTAATCAATGGAGGGGGAAAGAAAAAGCGCCAAATAAACAAGATGATTATTGAATCACGGTCTCACCTTTGGGTCCCTGCACTCTGAGTAAGAAAATACAATAAACAAAAAAATAGAGAGACAGACAGACAGAAAGAAATACTAGTACATGATGCAAAAATGCTGACCAGTGATTGGTTGGCCTCCATAGGTGACATTGAGGTTGTATGTGCCTGGCTCATATGGGATGTATTCAACACAACAGCTGCCATCTTTGTTATCAGTGCAGGACATTTTGGCCTCAGAAGGTCCCTCCATAGCCAGCCCCAGTCCACCTGTACCGGCCCCACTGCATCAAAACACAGACATGAAGTGAGGCAGAGAACCTTAAAACCAGAGCTATTGACACGGAGACCGATTTTAGCTCAAGATTAAAACAAAAAACCGAGTGCTGAATCTACCCACCGGGTCTCCACTGTAAACTTGTTGGGTTTGTTAGTGATGCCAGACTGAAGTCCTGGACCATGTACACGCACACGTGCTGGGTCACAACCCTCGGTCACTGGCACACGGAACGGGCTCTTGGGAACTGGGGCGTTATCATATGTAACCTCAACACGGTGTGTGCCTTTTAACATACAATACAGAAGACTGGTGTAAAAGCAACCCATAATAAACCACATTTTTACAGTTTTTAAAAGTGGTGCTGAAACTCACCCTCCTCATAGGGCGTGTACTCCACTTGGTAGGTGCCATCTCCCAGGTCTCTAATCAGAGCTTCTGTGCGGTTGCCTGATGGGTTATTGATACAGGTCTTGATATGATTGCCACCCGTTTTGGTGAGAGGACGAGCATCCACAGTGAAATCAGTAGTGGCCTCCCGGAAAACACCTACAGACAAACATTCAAAGTGGCTAAATAAGCCAAGACAAGAGGAACTCCTGCTTGATAAACCTGAGAACACAGCACTACCTTTGCCTTCCACTCCAGGTCCGAACACTTTCACTCCACCGGTTTCCACAGCAGGCTCCACGTTGAGTCTGGCTGGGAAGTTTGGCACATCCTGATCACCATAGCGGATGGTGAGAGTATAAGCTCCAGGGTACAGAGGGATGTAAGTGATGGTGTAGGTTCCATCCCCATTGTCCTGAATATGGACTTCAGCCTCGGTGCCATTGTCTGAGATGATCTCGATAGTCAGCTCAGCAGGACCAGCATTAGTGCAATCGACCACAAACTGTCCTGGCTCGCCAACCTTAGCTCGCTCCAGACCTGGCCCAGAACATCGCACCTATACATGAGAAGAGGGGATATGAATGAAAGAGTATATTTGTTCTACTGCTAAAGCAAATATGGGACTTAGATGCCAAAACCACTCGCTGAGAAGTCGTGCAACATTAAGCAAATTACAGTTTATAGAATAAACACCCCACAAAGAGCTTTTCCTGACGCCTTGTTGTTGCCTTGTTAAACTGCCAATAATATTTAATTCCTAGGTTTCTAAACTGCCTTACCTTAGATGGGTCAGTAGGTGCAATGGCTTCCATGGGGAACGGACTGCCGGGGATGGGAGCGCCATCAAATGTCAGTTCAACCTCATAGGGTCCCTTATCTCTGGGGATAAAACGGACCTGACTGGTTTCTGGGCTCAGGCCTGGTTCAACTTTACAAGGCACCGATTTGCCAGATGGACCTGTGACCTTGGCGCCAACCTTTCCACCACCTCAACAGGCTCCACGACACCTACACAACATAAACAGTCCTCTTAATCAATGGAGGGGGAAAGAAAAAGCGCCAAATAAACAAGATGATTATTGAATCACGGTCTCACCTCCCTGGCCACCTGCTCCTTTGGACTTGACTGTGATCTCCTGATCCTTGCCGACGGTCATTGCTAGAAAATAAAGAGCAGATAATTTTGACTTGTAAAAGGTTAAAGGTGATTCAATCCAATCGAAGGTTATTTGTATAGCACTTTTCACAACACATCATTTCAAAGCAGCCTCAGACGTTTCAATGTTACATTCAGTCAAAGATGTCAAAGCAACTCTCATTCGTGACTTTCAGGTTAACTGGCAAGCTAGACAAGTAAAGTGATAACTTACTATCTCCAATACCAGCCACTTTAACTTTACTGAGATCCAGGGATGGGGCGACTGCTACAGCAAACGGGCTCTTGGGAATGGGATCACCACCATATGTGACATTCAAACCCATATTGCCCTACAGAAGAAAATGAGCACTTAGATTGCAGCAGTACTCATTTGCTAAATAGCATTTAGAAAACCATAGTTACAATATTCAAACACTGCAATATTCCTTTCAAAACCAAGCATCACCAGTCATGGAGACTACAAGAGCAAACATTGGCTCACCTGTTGAACAGGGGTGTATTTAACAGTGTGGGTGCCGTCATGATTGTTGATGATGTCAAAGTCACGGACCGCCTCTCCCTTGGTGGGTCCAGTGAACTGAGTGTCAAGCCTAGCTTTGCCTGCGGCCTTGGTGTTCACAGTGAAGTGAGTGGGTTTGTTCAGCTCCACACCTTGAAAAGAATAACATCATTGGAGATTCACCTTTAAAACTAAAAAACAAAACTGAAAAACAAACTTTTTTTTAACTGAATGGGTTGGTCATACTAAATTGTCTACTTATTCATTTTTTTTCCATTTTATTAAATACTTTTTCCTCACCAGTACGGTTGAGTCCAGGGCCTTCTGCTTTAACCTTGCTGGCATCATGAGAGGGATCAACCTTGATTCTGATGGGCGTCAGGGGAATGGCCTAGAAAACCAAACTAATTTGAATAAAAGAAACCGCACTAGACCATTCACCACATACACTTGTGCTTCCTCTTACCTGCTCAGCAAACAGCACCATGATTGTGTAGCTGCCCGCTCCAGGGGGGGTGTATTTGACGGTGAATGTGTCATTGTCATTTCTAATGATGTCGAAATCGATGTCAGCCTCAGCAGGTCCCACAACACCTGGAGCGCATTTGATGCCTATGCTGATGTCACCTAGAAAAACAGATGACAAAAACAACACCTAAGCTTATTTGCCCCAAAAAGACATGAAAATATTAGTTTACATCTAGTTCTTTTAGAGTTAAATTTCTTACCCTGTCCCGCCTCGGCACAATCCACAGTGAAGTATGTTGGTTCAAATGCCTTCAGGCCAGTCTTGGCCACTCCAGGTCCTGATACTTTCACCTTATTGGGATGGCACCCTGCCCCAATGTTCATCTACACAACAAATGCAGTGAGAACACATTAAAATACTTTTCATTAGTAATTCTAAGGACATTAACCACATCTGAATGACTACCCACCCTGAATGGGCTCTCTGGGATGTTGACTCCTCCCCAGGACACCATCATAGTGTGTTTGAGTGGTTTGCGAGGGGTATAGCTGCAGCTGTATGTTCCGTTACTATTGTCCTTCACCTGCACATCCACTGGCTTTCCATCACGGTCCTGAGAGGGAAAGAGCTTGTTAGTGCTTTGATTTGGAGTGAAGAGTCAGTCATGAGCCATAAAGCAGAATCCACACCTGAGCTTGAATCTTTAGAGGAGCTTTGCCACCTAGTTTGGCATCCACAGTGAACTCTGCTGGTTTGCCGACTGAAAGGCCAGAGCTCTCCAGACCTGGACCATAAGCTTTCACCTGAATTACAAAATGAGACGCATCACAAGAATTACCAACAACAGACTCATTTAGAGTATGGACTATCAGCTGCTCATGTTAGGAATATTTTCACATCAAATATTTCTAGAAAGGCGGCAGATTAATTACCTTGTCAGGGTAGAAGTCTTTTCCTGGAGCAGGTACGACTTCAGCCATGAAAGGGCTGAGCTGGATGTCCTCGTTCTTACAGAGCACATGAACCGCATACTCGCCCGGTTCTGTGGGCCAGTACCTCACATCACAGGAGCCATCTCCCTTATCGTCACATTCGATCTTAGCCGGGGATGGGCCCTCCACTGAGAACCCTGAATGGAGAGTTCCCAAGTTCATATTGGATTTAAGAAATACAATTGTATGCCGTTCAAACAGGCGGATGAAAGAAGAGCTAATGGAACATACCCAAAGTGCCCACGTCATCCCCGACAGCTTCCACCACAAAGTCAGCTGACTTGCCTACCACACCACTCTCCAGTCCTGGACCCCATGCCCTGACCTGCTGCGGTCCTGCTTCAGATCCAATCTTTACCTCAAACGGACTGGAAACAAGAAAAAGGAATTGACATCCATCAAGTCCAATCACTACTCTCTTATTGGGAATAGAAACCCACTGCATGGGATTAATTATTTACCTGTGTGGGATGTGTTGTCCACCCCATGTGATCGTGATGATGTAATTCCCAGGTGTGGTAGGGTAATACTCAAAGCTGTACACGCCATCTCCCAGATCCTTCTTCTTACAGGGCTCCTCAAGACCCTCTGCGTAACACATTTAGTTGTTGGGTAACTAGCTCTTAAAACATCTGTACTGTAGCTTAAGTTAATACTGAGGGCACCGTGAACATTGTGAATGAGTATGGCGTCCACTCACTGGGCCCTTTGATGGTGACTTTGAGGTCTCCAGTGCCAGCTCCTTTAGTGTAAACCTTGAACTCTGCAGTCTCCTTGATTCTCAAGCCTTTAGGCTGCAGACCACGGCCCTTGGCTCTACACAGGCTTGGATTACAGGCTGGTGAGAACATAACCAAGTTAGTACAAATTTGTAGTTAACTGTGTACCCTTCTATTTACAAAAAGAAAGGATTGAACAGAAAAAGCAACATCCCAATTAGTAAATAAAAAATAAGATATAAAAGATACACTGTGAGATATAAAGTCACAACTGTGAAATTTAAAGTCACAATTGAGAAATAGTGTCACTATGTATAATGTATGATATCCCTGCATAAGTTATTGAGTTAACAGCCTTTTTGTGGTCATGACAGGATTGAAATATGCTAACTGTCTGTGAAGAGCGGAGTAGGTTCTAGTTAATTAAATATTCTCATGTTAGCATGTATAATGTCGGGAACATACTTTTGAAACAGTATGTTCAACATTTCAATGTAATGCCTTGCAACACAGACTTCGATTGTACATTGCATTACTGTAAATGTGTCTGTTATTTACAAAGGAGGAACAAGTTGAAATTTATGATTTCTATTTTAAAAATAAAGAAACTTGTACTGCATATCTGTTCTTCAAAAAAAAGCAGGCAGAAAAACATGGAGCATACGGGGGGAGTGATACTAGGCTCTGCTTGTGGTGTAAATTCTTATCTTTCTTTGTCTTGATCCAAACAGCCTTACAAGAGGAAGTGGTAAGAATGACTTTACAGTGCTGAATAATACTGGTGGAAAAACTGTCTGATAATAAAACGCTATTTTTAATGTTCCATTTGACTACTGCTCCACACATTACTGAGTCACAGGAATTTTGCTTGGCTTACAACGCCATGGATAACATCGTCTACACACGTCTCCAGAGAAACGAACATCTATTAGCACTTATATGGGCAGTTAAATACTTTCTGGTCAGTATAACCAGCGGTCCAAAATGATGTCATGTAATTTCATTGGCACTGTAAAGTGTTTGCAGCCTAAAGTGAGGGGCAACTAAAACAACAGGACTGACAGAAAAGCAGCATGTCAAGTACCCAAGACATATCCAAGGAAACAGGAAATGACATCAAAAGCCAAAGGGAGGCCGATCCAAAGAGAAAAGGAGAGATACCAGTGGATGTAGACGAAACCCGTCCTTCAAAAGGAGAGACACAATTGCCAGTGAAGAAAAACAGAGGAAAAAGACAGCAAGAAAAAGCAATGCAGACAAGGACAGATAACAGAAACCTAAACTTTTAAATGAAGTTTTGTACATGCTATTCAGTGGTAATGGCCTTTCCATGCCTCATTAAAATGAATCCTGTGTGTATATCCCTTCCACCTACTTCCCCTTTCCTGTCTTACACACAATATATTCATGCTTAGCCCTTCTCTGGATCTTACCCTCTCCCACACGGACAGTGTAAGGGCTCTTGGAAATCTGCCCCCCAGCAAAGGTGATATAGATGATGTGCTGGCCCTCCTGAGTGGGCTTGTAAGTGCATCGGTAGCTGCTGTTGCCCTTATCCTCAACACTGCATTCAACAGTGCCCTTCTTTCCATTGGGGTCCATAATGACCACCTCGACCTCTCCTACTCCAGCACCTGAGAAAGAACATCTTATTTTTTAAAATGTCTATTTTGGTTGGTTTAGGTTAAATTATGTTACTTCTTTAGATAAACTAATAATATGATGTTTATTTTGTCTACTCCTATCTTTATTTAGCTAAAAAAAAAAAAACAGCTTATTTTATATACTTTATTTTTAAAGCATCATCTACAACCAAAATAAGCATAACGTATGATACACCAAGGACAAGTACCAGCTGTGTAGACATCAAAGTATGTGGTCTTGTTGGCAATGTTGCCAGCAGGCTCAAGTCCTGGGCCCTGGGCAGTGACCTTGCTGGAGTCTCCCTGAGCCATTCCCACATCCACCTCAAATGGGCTCTTGGAGATGTGTTGCCCTGCAAACAGCACTGTCACCTAGGAGAACAGACACAGGTCTATTAAAAACCAGGCAAGAATGTTTGCTTCCACATGGTGATGCACTGCCCTTATTTTAAAATATCAGTGTAATTTTTTTTTTGTTGGGACATGGTTTCATCTTTTTCATGTAAACACTTCTGGGTACCTTGTGTTGTCCAGTGACTTTTGGTACATAGAATACAGAGTAGGTGCGGTTCTTGTCATTGTTGGCTGTAACTTTGGCCTCCTCACGGTGGCCGGCTGGGTCCTCCACGTAAACCAGAACCTCGCCCTGACCAGCACTGATGGTCTCAACAGTGAACACTGCCTTCTTCATAACAACATTACCTGTGGGCTCAATACCTGCATGGCACAGAACAATACCCATGATTATTCACTTTCCAAGAACTGCATCTCAAACACTTATATTAAAACAATCAGTTTCAGACATAACTAAAATAAAACCATAGCAAATATGCAGCTGGTCACGGTTTACCTGGTCCATAGGCACGGGCCTTTTTGGGGTTGAGTTTGGGCCGCAGGGGGGCACCAGGCTTGAGTTTGGCTTTGGGGAACTGGGACAGGTAAGTCATAACAGAGTGCTCGTCCACATTGGGATCAACGATTTCTTCTGGAGTGATCACCTGGTGAAGAAACACAGCATGCAATTTAACCTAAACCAACTAAAACTCATGCAATTTGTAAACATTTTGTAAAACAAGGTGTTTTTATCGTGCCATGCCAACATGGCAACAGGAAGTTTATTAAGATACAAATTTAGAAGTCTGTATCATAGTAACATCAGCCCTAGGGACGGAAACACCTAACCACAAGCATAACTGACGGCACGCAACATGCCAGCCTTGGCACACCATCAGCATGCACAGTGACAAAGAAACCTCACTGGGTAGTTTTGATACATCAGTAGGGAGAAAAGTGATTTGACTCAGTTCCCTATTTGTCTAGTCCTTCAAAAAAAATAAAAATTATACCATAAACACTACTGCAATACTAGGCGAGATTGCATACTGCAACTTTACCGTTATGACCAAGGTGAAAACAGCATGTGGTGTGACAGAGCCAAATGCTTTTTCATTTGTTTCCTTTCCAATTCAGGTCATGATGAAACCACAAAAGCCATAGTCGCTGCATTGAATTTGAAACATGCCAGGTGGGGGCTCTAGAACATTCTGTTCTCGGATTATTCAGTAGTTATTGAAAAGGCCAGAGATGACTGATCTAAGATAAAGTACCTGAGGAACACCAAGCCAGTCATCAGCCTGCTGCATGGCCTCCCTGGCATTGTCCACAGGCTTGGTCTGGTCCCAGGAATCCCAGTCTGGACAAAGACCTGCAAACCAAAAATAAAAATAAATAAACTGTATTTGCTCACATTTTCTAAGGACTGTGTCAAACTTGCTTTAAAATACTTGCTGGTGTTGCTATCGACAGCAAAAAAAACGGATTCAATGAATTACTCGTTATTACCACAAATCCAAGCAGGGACCTCTTTAAACATTTATGCATTCAATTTAATAAAAAAATACTGTATATAAACAATCTGAGCAAATGTATACATTTTTTAAGTCTATTGATCATGATTCATGTAGACTGAACATGCCTAATAGGAACACCAAATTTAATACTAAAGATATTCTCAGACCACTAAACCCCTGAGATCTCTAAATTCCCACAAAACACCATCCCAGATATTTCACCTGGGGCACAACTGTCCACCAAAGCGCCAAGGGCTTTCCCTGACTGCCAGTCCCGGCTGAAGTTGGTGATGGGCAGCTCGGGCAGCTTGTTCTGGATCCATCCGAGCAGCCTCTGTTTGGGTGTCTTCTGCTTGCTTTCTTCGGTCTCCTCCTCCTCGTCCCACATGGGCATGGAGATGGAATAATGGAGAATCAGAGTCCATATCAGACCTAAGATCAGCTTCAGGTTCCCATCCACTATGGCCTTACTGTCTGTAACACAGAGACAGAGAGAAGAGTTACACAGAGTTTGCCAAAACGCATTGGAGTAAATAAGATTTTTTATCATCTGAGGGCATCTGTATCTATAAAGCTGGAACGAATCCTTTTATCATTCAGCACAAAACGGTGCAATAAGTTGCAGACCATGCCACAAATGGTCACCAAACAATGAAGCGCTTGTATCTGCACTGCACATGTGAAACAATCAGACTTAATGCTGGCATGACTTCAGATTCAGAGTGTAGATGATAATCAGAGGAGACATTTGTGGATTAAACCGTCTAGATGGTTGGCACCATCCCATCTGAGGATTATTTCAGGACAAAATTTCAATTTGAAATCTAAGAGAGCCGGATGAAGTCTGGTAGCCTTTTATTATTTGCTCTGCTCTTACAGTTCTTAAAAAGGATGGAAATAAATGTAAACCCATCTCCTCTAGTCGCTCCACCCTGTGTCGACATCAAGATCTGATCACAGTCTGATCTCCACCCTCATAACAACACTTTCACACTTCCCTTTGCCCTACCATTTCTCTTTAACAAGAGCATACGCCCATCCAAAATGTGGTTATAGGCTTGCACATGCGTCCCAAGCTACAGAAGAAACACAAAACAACTTCAATGCACAAACAGAACACTCTTGCCGCATCCTATGCTGCATTTAGTATGTAAGTGAGGCCTAATCCAAGCTGGGACAGTGAGAGAATCAAGAAATATTTGAAGATAACGTGGATAATTGTTCTTTGATAGCGCTCGCATGCCCTGGGGGAGGACTTGGGCAGGGCAGTGCAATGCAGTGCAACTTCCTGTTTTAACTGACACATGCTCCACTGAGGATGCAGTTAACCTTGCAGGGGACAAAGGGAGGGGAGAATATTTCGATATAACCCAGACATACAGAAAAATATTGATTTGGCATTTCATAACCAAAGGTGACACTTTCGATCGAACCATGCTGTGAAAGTTAAATACGCTTAATTTCAGCATTTATTAATGTTAATTTCAAAACTTACTAATGCAATATAAAGAAAAAAAATCAAAAGTTGTATCTGTTAATACTTAATGGAACTGACTGAGCTAACAATGAGCGGTTTAATTTTTATAACCAAATGTCAGTGAAGATTCATAAATATGGTAAAGAAATGTAACGCTCTCTGTTAGGTTAATGTTAACGCATTGTTTAGTTTTTGAATTTTAAATATTTTTTTAAATCTTATTTTTTTTTAAAGAAAAATTTGATTTCTTTGACAACTTTGAAGCTTCTAATGGTTCATAAAAATGTTGTAAACAATTCATATCTAATCCATAAGAATCAAGCAGTTTATTCCAGTTTAGGCTTTCACTCATCAGTAATGATCAACGCACATACATAGAGCTCATCAAATATGGTAAACACTTGGAATAAACCCATTCATAAGGATTTTTACAGTTAACTTTTTGAATCATCAAGGTTTTGAGAAATCAGACTTTCTGTAGAGGTATGACGTGAGAAATGACCGTTTTGATTTTTGGGTAAACTTTCCCTTTAAAACATAGCAAAACTCAATCTATAAGCAAATCATGGTCTCAAGGAGGAAAGCAAGCATTTGATCGGTTCAGAAATACTCAAAATGAATGCGCTGTATATTGGGAGATCTCACAACATTTTATCCCCCTCCTGACCTGTTCCAGTTATCCAGCAGCGCTTGTTTGGCCATGTAAAATAATACATTCGCATTTTTCTCTAGTTCTGGTCTCCCGGTGCGGTTTACAAACCATGAGCCCCCAGAGCCTGCTGGAATTCATCTTGGCTTCTGGTGAAGGTGCTATTGAACCCTCTCTGATCCCTTTATTCACAGACCAAACACACTGGGCATGCGCTTCAGCATCGGAGCAATAATATGGAAATTTATGGACCCATAAAGAAGTGCCATTATGGTTAATGCTGGAAGGGTAAGTTTAAGCATCACCAAATTCTTCCAGAGTCCGCTCTAGTGGAACGTCCTGTAGATCGTGCTGCCTTTGACTATGATTAATCTTATTCCTACAAGCAGGCACGTGCACAGGTAGGGCTCAACCTGTGCAGAGCACATGCCCTTTTTGCCCTTACACTCCGAAGTGCCATTTTTTTGGTGATGGTGTTTTTTTTTCCTTCAATAAATCAGTGATATTGGTCACCCTTTACATCTGTCTGCTTTACAACAGCTAAAAAAATATTTTTCTTCAAACTTTTCTTCAAAGAATATTGTTATATATAATGTTATTTCTCTGTCTTCTCTTCACTGCCATAACAGTGAATCAGACTGTAATAGTCACTCATCATAGTCTTTCAGCACATGCCCCTCAAAAGGTCTGTGCACGGCCCTGCCTACAAGGGTACTGACGGGAAAAAAATATGAGTGAAATATTAGAAACAAACCCAAATCAGCATAATACAATAGTGCAGACTATGATGAGTGACTATTACAGTCTGATTCACTGTTATGGCAGTGAAGAGAAGACAGAGAAATAACAAAAAGAGTGTTATTACATGGGAACTTGTTGGCGCTTGTTTAAGGTATTAGAGGCGGACCTTACCATCAACTTAAGGCAGGGCTTACACAGACATCCTGAGGGCTGTACAAATAAAATGATCCACAGTTATTTTTCGTCATGCAGCATTTTTTGGCCTCTAGAGCCTTGGGAATTGATCTGCTTTTGACATCTCAAAATCCTTTGCCAGTTCGTTTCAAATGGTTAAAAAGTCACAGGAAAGACCTTGATGCTCAATGGAACTGGGATTGAGTGGTTGTGCATTTAAAACTGATGCTTATTTATCAGCCCCCAGCAGCCCACCCTCACAGACAGAAAAGCATGCTGTGGTTTACAGTTCCCAAAAATCTAATAAATGAGTAAAAATGTAATGTGAGCTAATGTTTCAGGACAATTTTTGGGGTGCATTTGGGATTGGGGTATAGGATGTTTGAATGCAGAGTCTACTAGTCAGCATGAGCCCCATGTAATTAGGCTGATTTAGAGTCTTGTTCCGCATTGATCAAAAGTATTTCTTAGGAGGCGTTCACAGACTGTTCTGGATTTTATAAACAGTTGAAAGAAGAGTATAAGAACAACAAAAACGAAAGCAACATTTTGCGCACGGGATGCGCAGAAGCGCTTTGTGCCGCTCTGAATTGGAGCCATACCCTTTCCTATTATAATACTTTTGCGCAATGAAAGATTATTAATAAGTCTTTCTTGTTCTGATCTACCATATGTTGCTGCCTTCAATACTGTGCTATGCATTTTTAATTTTATTTTCACTTTTAATTTTATAGTATACACATATACATATATACACACATACATATACATATAGGCTACTTGTTTTTCATAAATATATTTTACAACAATACATAGAGCAATGTGTAACATTTGACCAGATTTAGTCCTACACTTATTAACTTTTATTTGTCCCCCACTAAATAATGTTGTTTCACTAAATGTTTAGTTTAATTTAATGTTTTTATAAAATTATTGTGCACCCACGATTTTTCTAGAATAACTTTTGCTGCTGAAATATCCACTAACCTAGTTTATAATAGTATTTTTTGTCATCGATTATGATTACATATTTTTTCATTTCTTATTTTTCATTAAAATTAAGTTGTCTATCTTTAGCAGATTGTGTTTAACACACACAAGAGTGATGATCAGGTCAACACAGAAGTACAGAAATTGACATTGATTTAAAAATAAAAACTGTGCTGGTATCGGATCGGTTCTGAAAAGAAAAATAAAAAAAAATAAAAAATGGTATCGTTGCATCCCTATTTCTAATCTGATTAACTAGTTAAGCTTGAGTTCTCTGAACTAAATTCCTAACTCTCTGTTGCCATAAAATGTCGTCCTAATGAGGAGGAGAGGATTGGAAATTAAGTCTCTGTGTTTTTTTAAGATTTGAATACTTTCATTCAGCAAGGATGCATTAAATGATTCAAAAGTGACAGTAAAAGCATTTATAATGTTACAAAATATTTCTATTTCAAATAAATGCTGTTCTTTGATGA